AGATGCAACATAAAAGGGTTATACTCTAGTGTCTCAAACTATATCAGTGGGGAGAGACAGACAGAACACTTATAGCTTTAGATATGCATCCCCAGATCAATCTGATGCTGCTTTCAGACTTTCAAAAATTGCAGAAATGAATATAAATAGAGTAGCCGATAAGAATTAAAAGGAGTCTCGCAAGGCAAAAGACAGTCTGACGATGATGAGGCGAGATGACCAGCAGCTACTCAGGACGGTCGACGGAGCTGAAATCCTTCTGCAGACACCCAGAGTAATTATGAGGTGATAAGGAACATAACATCTGTCCCTGAGAAAAGCAGTTGGTGTTTGGGTGGTCGTCGTTCACCATGTCCTTTTTCTTATTTTGGCCACTGGTGTTTTACGGCATATGCTTAAAAAAGGCAGATTTTGCTTATGCTGGTAATTATAAGTATACAAAACACATGAAATATATATATATATATATATATATATATATATATATATATATATATATATATACGTAGATAAACGCATATATATAACACATATATTTATTTATTTACATACATTACACACACACACATATATATTTATAGATAGATAAACATATATCATGTTAAAACACAAACATAAACACACACACACACACACACACACACACACACACACACACACATATATATATATATATATCATAATTGCGGAGCTAACGCCGACGAGGGCGCATAGCCGCATCAAACCTTTGCTTGTACCTGCGAAGGTCCCTCATGGCAAGTCGCCAGGCAGGGACTCGGCCCATCTCAAGCTCCTCACGACAGGTTTGACCCATCTGCCCAAGCTACGACTTCATAGGTTGACCCACAGGCCTCCTCCACCCAGGGCTGTCTCGAACAGAGACAACCTGGTGGGCATGATCATCCTGTGGGAAGCGAGCCAGGTGGCCATAAAGCCTGAGTTGGCGATCACGGATTGTGCATGTAATAGGTCCTGGGCCAGTCTCACGGTTGGTTGGACACATGGTCCCGCCAACAGTATCCCATGATCCGGCGCAAGGACCTATTACAAAAGGCATCAATTCGAGACTCCAAGGCGCAGGATAGTGTCCAGGTTTCACTACCGTAGAGCAAAACTAGCATTACCAGGGCCCTGAAAACCCGTAGCTTGGTCCTTCTGCACAGGTAACGGCACCTCCAAATACTCTTGTCGAGAGAGTTCATGACCCCTGCTGCCAGGCCAATCCGTCTGCTGACTTCCTGGTCTAACAGCCCAGAGTTATGAACTACACTACCAAAGTATGTAAAGCTCTCTGTGCCTTCAGTGTCCTCGCCGCAAGCACATACCGACTGAACAGGTTCTCCTAATAAGTCCCCAAGTCCTGGATCTTGGTCTTGGTCCAGGAGACTTCTAGACCCAAGGGCTTCGTTTCATTACTAAATACATCGAGAGCCACCACTAAGGATTCCAAAGACTTAGAACAGCAACATTATCAGCAAAGTCAAGGTCGATAACCTTGATATTGCCCAGAGTTGCTCCACAATGACTTTGAACAGTAGTCCTGCCCACTATCCAGTCCATGCAAGTGTTGAAAAGCATTGGTGCAAAGACACAGCCTTGCCTCACTCCTAAACAAACAGGAAAGAAGCTTGACAGGCCCCCACCACACTTTACAGCACTTTCAGTATCACTATACAGACTTGCTATTAGTCCAATAATCCTTGTTGGAATTCCTCTCAGTCTCAAGATCTCCCAGAGTGATTCCCGATGCTCCATATCGAACGCCTTCTTGAGGTCGATGTAGGCTGCAAGCAGCCCACACCCGAACTCACGACGGCACTCTATAATGACTTGAAGCTGTAGGATACAGTGTATTGTGGACTTACTAGGAGTGAATCCAGATTGCTCCGGCCTCTGATGCCTCAGTAGGTGATATAATACGTCTCAAAAGGATGTGGGCAAGAACCTTGCCTGGTATACTGAGCAGTGTGATGCCTCGGTGGTTGCTGCAGTCCCATCGGTCCCCCTTCCCCTTCCAGAGAGGGATGACCACACCCTTCAATAGGTCAGGGGGAACGGTACCAGATCGCCAGATGGCAGCCAGCTAGGTTCACCACCAGCCTTTAACAATTCAGCTGGGATGCCGCATATACCAGCTGCTTTACCACTCTTCAGCTTGGAGATCGCACCCCTAACTTCAGTTAGAGAGGGAACATCCTCACTGATGGGTGGGTCCGGCAACGGAATCTCGGCCCTACCCACATCCAAGTTAACTGTTGGTGGGTCAACCTGGTACAACTGCTCAAAATACTCAGCCCAACGTTCCCGCACCGCAACAGGATCTGAGATGATCTGACCACTTTCTGATCGAACTGCCGTTACCTGTGAAGTGAAGAGGGCTTGGAGTTCAGCTTTCTCAGGGCTTGGTATGCAGGATGAAGGTCATTTACTAAGCAATGGCCTTCTACCTCCTCAGCAAGACTCCTAATACACTGTTCCTTGTCCCTTCTCAACAGTGACCGATTTCTGCGCACATATATATGTATATACATATATGTATATATATGTATATATATATATATATATATATATATATATGTGTGTGTGTGTGTGTGTGTGTGTGTGTGTGTGTGTGTGTGTGTGTGTGTGTGTGTATGTGTGTGTGTGTGTGTGTGAACATATATACACACGAGGAGGGTCTTATGCTGCGTTCGGAACTGCTCGTTTTACTCGTCCAGACAACTTGTCCAGGACCAGTAGGACAAGTGGGCTGCATTCGGAACCTACAAGACCATCTCTACCCAGAATGCAACCGGCTCGAATGTAAACATTCACTTTTTTTTATTACATACAAAATCTATTGTGACGTCATCTCGTACTGCTCGCCCAGGTGCGCAGGAGGGCGAGATAGACAACTTGTCCGGGACGAGAAAGTAGAGGTTACGAACGGTCAAAACATCTCGTCCAACTGGTCTTGACGAGCAGGACGAGCAATTCCGAACGCAGCATTAGGAGGTGCGGAGATGAGACACCATCATTACCGCAAATGATATGAAAGCGCTGCTCGAACCATGATTCAGCCTTGATTGCATTTAGTAGTCAATGATTATCTGTTTATCATATAAAAAAGATATAAAAAATGCAGATACAAATTTTGCAAATAGATTTGTCAAATTTTACATAATTACAGACGTTGTTCTGGTTAATAAAGAAGTTACAGACATCTTGATCCGAAGTCTAAGCTACATCATCGCATTCGCACGATTTGCGGTAAAGGTGGGAGCTGCGGAGCCCAACTGGGACGATGTTGGTGGTTCAGGTTCCTAACCAACCTGCACCAAGGTCTGTAGATTCATAGAAATCATAAAAAAAAGTCTATTCTAGACATTATATCTCTATGGTTTAATGAAAAGCAGTCAAAACGTGCTCTTAAAAGCATACAAGTTAATATACCAAACAGATCTAAGCGACATTTTAATATAAAAAGGCATACAAGTACATCGCTGCTGAGAAATGTTTAGTTACAGTGCCACTTCTTTTAGAAGACATCAAATGATTTATCAAAAATATTCTTTTACTTTTGCTTAAAAAAAAAAAAAATTCTGTGCACTCTTGGAAAAAAATGATATTTTTGGACCTAAGTCATTTAACAGTCATCACTTATAAATAAGTCTTATCATTATTGACTTTTCTCTCTGTAAAGTCTTAAAATTTAGTCTAGGTTTAGACCCATGCTAAATTTTGATTCAATGGACATTATTGCCAAACCGTTTAAACGTTCTTGCTGAATTGAGGATCTCAAGTTTGATCAGTATCAGCTTGGAGACTCCTTTCTTCCAATGCATCAATCAATAAATAAATTTGGAAATGGAATAGACATGTTGCAAGCAAGGAATTCAACCATTTTCATGGGTTATTGAATCTGTGGTTGCAAAACTGGTTTTAGTCCCTCATACTGTCTAGTAATACAACTGAATAAGGAGGAAGAATATACCGCCTACCTAGCACTTACTATCAAAAGCCGTAGCTGAAGAAATGCTTGAGAAAATTAATTGGTCTCCATTGCCACAGTTACACATGATGATATAGGATAATTTTTGCCCTATGTTTTATAAACATTTTGTACTACGCATTACAGCAATCTTCCGAAAATCAATATTATATTACAGATTTATGGTGTACGTCTTGGTCTCTAAAACTTGCCTCCTCCATGGGTCCATGACACAAAACTAACTCAAGTAGTAAAATAATTGAGCTCTGTAAGATCCAGTCAAATGTGTTAACACTCGTCGGAAAGGAAACACACGATGGACACGTAATTCTGGCGACCTCTAGAAACTGGACACACCATATCAAAGGAAACATATTTTTCATCATTGCAATGCACAGTTACCGCATTTGGGATGATTTACTCTCCCCACCCCTTTTGGAAAATTGAATCTGGATATAGGTCTATATATTTTGCAACAGAGATGTGCATGCGGACAAAGATATATATATATCTATATCTATATCTATCTATATCTATATCTATATCTATATCTATATCTATATCTATATCTATATCTATATCTATATCTATATCTATCTATCTATATCTATATGTCTCTCTCCTCTCTCTCTCTCTCTCTCTCTCTCTCTCTCTCTCTCTCTCTCTCTCTCTATATATATATATATATATATATATATATATATATATATATATATATAAATATATATATATATATACATATATATATATATATATATATATATATATATATATATATATATATATGTGTGTGTGTGTGTGTGTGTGTGTGTGTGTGTGTGTATGTATGTGTGTGTGTGTGTGTTTGTGTGTGTGTGTGTACACACACATACACATATATATACATATACATACACACACGCACACACACACACACACACACACACACACACACATACACACACACACACACACACACACACACACGTGGGTGTGTCTGTGTGTGCGCATGCGCTATATGTGTCTAAAAAGGCTATAATGAAATAGGAAA